AGGTAAGAACGTTGATGTTATTACGACTGATTTTTCACACGGTGTGCAACGTATAAAAAAACAATTTTACAATACCGGATCATTCAGGTAGCACATGTTATGATTATAATCCAACACCATTTTTACTAATAAAAATGGTGTTGGATTATAATCATAACATGTACTACCCGAATGATCCGGTATTGTAAAATTGTTTTTTTATACGTTGCACACCGTGTGAAAAATCAGTCAATAACATCAACGTTCTTACCTGTAGTAACCGATTGAGTAGGTCCTTAATCGGTTGACCCGTACAACCGTTGACATAATGTAAAATTGCATCAGCAATGAGCAAGGGTTTCGAAAAGTTCCGAAAAGAAAATGAATAAACACAAATAATAATCAAGGTTGAAACAAGAATTTGAGTAAATGTCCGAGAATTTCCGAAGGTAAAGCGTGAAGTAATCTTAGCCGGTTGCAATCGGTTGGCGTCAAATATTTCGGTTCAGTTAACCAATTAAGGAATTTTTTCTCGGTTCAAATCACTACTTAGGAGAAATTACCAGAGAACAGCTCCAAAATTTCTAAGAAACCTACCAGAGAACAGCTCAAAATCTAGCAAAAAATTGCTAGAGAAAGCTCTAAACCCGGCGAAGAAAATTACCAAAGAACAGCTCCAAACTCGGCGAAGAAACTAGAAACTAAACTGAATTAGAATAGGTTTCTTGGTAGAAAACTACTAGAGAATAACTCCAAACCTAGCGAAGAGAATTACCAGAGAACAGCTCCAAATTTCCAAGAAACCTACCAGAGAACAGCTCAAACCCAGCAAAGAAAATTACGAAAGAAAAGCTCCAAATCCGATGAAAAAAATTACAAGAGAAAATCTCCAAACCCGACAAAGAAACTAGAAGCTGAAACCGAATTAGAGTAGGTTTCTTAGTAGAAAACTACCAGATAACAGCTTCAAACCCAGCGAAGAAAATTACTAGAGAACAGCTCAAAAATTTCCAAGAAACCTACCAGAGAACAGCTCCTTACCCGTGAAGAAAATTACCAGAGAATAACTCCAAACCCGGCGAAGAAAATTATCAAAGAACAGCTCCAAGCCTGATGAAGAAACTAATGGAAATTTATTAGAAGCGGAAGCTAAATCAGAATTGGCTTCTTAGTAGAAAACTACTAGAGAACAGCTTCAAAATGCCAAAGAGAACTACTAGAGAATAGCTCTAAAACCTACCACAGAAAAGCTCCGGAGAACAACTCCAAGACGTCAAAGAGAACTACCAGAGAACAACACGAAATTTCGAAGAAAGCTCTTTGACGTTTTGGAGCCTCTCTCTGATAGAATTACCAGAAAACTACCAGAGAACAGCTCTAAAACGTCGAAGAGATTTCTAAGAACGCCTAAAAAATTTAAAGCAAAAAAGTTAACAAACCGACTTAAAAAAAAAAAAAAAGAAAAAAAACCCCCGTATTCAAAAATTAAAAGTGTTAATAGTAGCAATAAAAATTTTTACATCGCGCGATAAATATCTATATTGCAATTTTAATATCGATATCGATATACAGTATTAGACTATAGATTAACAAGCATAATTTACAGTAACGGGTCACAAGAATATCACAGGGGTCACAACAGGTTATACTAAAAATAGATTACCCATTGTTATTGTTACACCAAAATTTAAATACGATTTTTTCAAAATGGAAAAAATGCCATAAGCCGTGTTTCTATTTGCCGGTCCCCATATTGATACATGGTTTATTGAACGTGACTTAGCCCAACATTGACAAGACGCTGAACAATGGCGAAGGTGCTTTACTAAATTGGGTAGAAAACAGCATGAAAAACTTACTCGTGTTCGGTGGTATGAGTTACTTCGATTGCCATATTTTAATCCTATTCAGTTTTTGGCTATTGACCCAATGCATTGCCTATTTTTAGGCATTGCAAAATGGATTGTTAAACGATTATGGGTCGATCATAGAAAGTTGAATACAAGCCAATTAAAGCAAATTCAAAAAAAAATGTCAGAAATTCAGGTTCCATCTGACATTGTCTGAATTCCAAGAAAGGTAGACTGTGGTGAAGGATTTGCTAATTTTACTGCTGATGAATGGAAAACATTTATTTTAATTTATGCAACACCCTGTCTGTAGGACTATCTTTCGGCACCAGATCAAAGAATTCTCACAAATTTTGTACGAATTTGTACAATTTTGGTCTGTCGAATTATTGATATATCTGTGTTAGAAGAAGAACATAACCGGTTTATTCTACTTATTAAACAAATTGAAGTAGAATAT